AAAAGAAAGCAATACAGTCCAAACTTAATGAGCAGATAGAGGTGAAATAAACAAAAAACCAAACAAACTACAATGATGAAATGTCCACAATGGACCAGGATAAGTAATTACCAAATTCAAGGAGATAACAAGGCAGAATCTGTTGGAAGGACATCAACCAAGATAACTTCAGCCCATGATAAAACACGCTTTGCTTCTGGCAATGCTGTGTTGTAATCATCTCTCTTATATACTAGTCTCCCCAGTTGCAACCAATGAGGGGGATCATGGCCACTTCCTCTCTCGTAAGCCAAGTTGTTTCCTTCTCCGTTCCTCCCTGTGTGTCATAGGAGGAAGAAGGGATAGGCCTGGTTCTTCCTCTGACTGCCCAGCCAGCCTCTGCCCTTCCCCAGCCTCCTCCACAACCTCCGGAGCCACACTTCCACTCCCTGTCAGCTGTTCCTCCTCTCCTTCAGAGTCCAAGTCTACCAAGGGCATGACATGAGGCATAGTTGCATCTGGACCCAATATAGATCCCTACATATATTGTTTTGACCTTCACGAATGAAAGTGAATACACGTACCCCAGGATAATGTTGCAGGATCCAATGTGGGTTGGTCACTACGACCAGAGGTTTGTCTTTTGAGCTTTTGGATTGGTGCTATAGCCCATCTTCAGGGAACTTATCTCTGGCATAGAGAGAACCCTAACTTTCTCCCTAGCTTAGAGAGAAGTTCCCTGAAGATGGGCTATAGCACGAATCCAAAAGCTCAAAAGACAAACCTCTGGTCCTAGTGACCAACCCACATTGGGTCCTGTTTTGACCTTTTTCTCTATTGGCCAAATGTAAACCATTCTGCACTACACCTTTAAAACATAGGGAACTCAAATCCAAGTCAGCATCATCAACTTTCATTCTCCTCCAGAGGTCTCATGAAATGCACCGCTTCACTTCTCAGCACCCAACAACCCACCTTAACCTTCCAACTGTGTATCTTACAGAGGTTACATTTCAAAGCGGGGATCTGTAAACCCACGGAAGATGGGGAACTACAACTCCCAGCAGCACCCACAGCTGCCCGCTCAATGAAGAGAGGCATTGGGAGTTGTATCTATGGAGATTCTCAGTCATCCAGGTCATGGTTTTCCCAAAGGTGCTTCTCCACCCCCCCCCCAAAAGGCAATTGGACTTTGTTTTTCCTTTGAAAAGAAAGCACCTTTGGGACATTTGGAATTGTAGTTGAACTGATGAAGCTTCTTAGATGAGAAGCGAAATGTCTTCTTCTTCCTCTTCAAATAATAAACCATCCAGTTCAGAGGTGGTCTTCAGCAGGTTCTGACCAGTTCTGGAGAACCGTTATCGGAAATTTTGAGTAGTTCAGAGAACCGGCAAATCCCACCTCTGACTGGCCCTGCCCCCATCTATTCTCTGCCTCCCGAGTCCCAGCTGATCGGCTGGGTCTTCTTTGGTTGCCCTGCACAGGAGAAAGAAGCTGGAAAGCAGGTCAGTGGGGTGGGGAGGGAATGGGGATTTTACAGTATCTTTCCCCTGCCATGCCCACCAAGCCATACCACGCCCACCAAGCCACGGCCACAGAACCGGTAGTAAAAAATGTTGAATCCCACCACTGAACCAGTTGCCTTGCAGGGGGAGGAAAGCACCTTTGAGACAACTATGACCTGGATGACTGAGAATCTCCATAGACATTGGGAATTGTAGTTCAGGGACCTTTGCAAGGTTCCAGATTCGACCTCTGGGCCTGTTGTCTAGCCCTAATCACACCTTGTGTCAAAAGTGGGGTGTCGCTTCTTTAATCAGAAGAAGGCAGCTGTCTTGCAACAGAGAATACAAATATGTGTTCCCACACCTGGATGGAGGGCCCCCTGGAAGAGTGGAGCGTTGTTGTTCTGCCTTCAAAGGTTTTGGAGGTTGACCCCCTCCTCTTCTTTGTGGAAGCCCCCTCAGATACTGGAAGACTGCTATGGTATCTTCCAATAACACTGATGATGTTACCTAGTTTGGTCAAATGAAACATCTGCAAGAAAACAAGCTAGCTCATAACAGATTAAGAGGTGGAAGGGACCTTGTAGGTCATCTAGTCCACACACACACACACACCTTGCCCAAGCAGGAGACCCTACACCATTTCTGACAGATGGCAGTCCAGTCTCTTCTTGAAAGCTTCCAGTGATGAAGCTCCCACAACTTCCGAGGGAAACTTCTGTTCCATTGGTTGATTGTTCTCACTGTCAGAAAGTTTCTCCTTATTTCCAGATTGAATCTCTTTTTGATCAATTTCTATCCATTATTCCTTGTCTGGCCTTCAGGTGCTTTGGAAAATAGCTTGACCCCTTCCTCTTCTCTGTGGCAGCCCCCTCAAATATTGGAAGACTGTTATCATGTCTCCTCTGGTCCTTCTCTTCACTAGACAAGCTCAGAGTCAACCCTGAGCTGCACATTTTCTCCTTTACTAATAAAGACTGCTATCATAATGGAGCTGGAAGGGACCTTGGAGGTCTTCTAGTCCAACCCCCGGCTCAAGCAGGAGACCCTATTAGTATATATAGTATTTCAGACAACTGACTGTCCAGGGTTTTTTTTCCCTCAAAGACCATCCCGTCTTTTCTATTGTATTACGCCCTAGTCCTGGTCTGTCTGCTCCCAGCTGAAGCGTCTCTCTCTCTCTCTCTCTTTCTCTCTCTCTGTCTCTCAGTAGTCCTTAATGGGTCTAAGTCTATAAGGAGGGAAGTAAGCAGTGGGGTGCCACAAGGTTCGGTCTTAACACCCAGTACTCTTCAATATCTTCATGAACGACTTAGATGAGGGAATCGAAGGGGAACTTACCAAATTTGCAGATGATACTAAGCTTGCAGGAATAGCTAACACCCAAGAAGATAGGCTCAAGATCCAGATGGATCTTGACAGACTAGAACACTGGGCCGTATCTAATAAAACGAAATTCAATATAGAGAAAAGTAAAGTCCTACACTTAGGCAAGAAAAACCAAAAGTACACATATAGACTGGGTGAAACCAGGCTCAATAGCAGACTCAACTGTGAGAGGGATCTTGGAGCTTAGGGGACAACCAGCTAAATATGGCCCAGCAGTGTACAGCAGCAGCCAAAAAAGCTAATGCAATCCTAAATTGTATTAATAGAGGGATAAAATCAAGATCAAGGGACATACTAATACCACTCTATAAAGCCTTAGTAAGACCACACCTAGAGCACTGCATCCAATTTTGGTCACCACACTATAAAAAAGATGTTGAGACTCTAGAAAGAGTGAAGAGAAGATTAACCAAGATGATTAGGGACTGGAGGCTAAAACATACAACGAACGGTTACAGGAACTGGGCATGGCTAGTCTAGTGAAGAGAAGGACCAGGGGAGACATGATAGCAGTCTTCCAATATTTGAGGGGATCCCACAGAGACGAAGGGGTCAAGCTATTTTACAAAGCACTGAAGGCCAGACAAGGAATAATGGATGGAAACTGATCAAGGAGAGATTCAACCTGGAAATAAGGAGAAATTTTCTGATAGTGAGAACAATCAACCAATGGAACAGCTTGCCCTCGGAAGTTGTGGGAGCCTCATCACTGGAGGCTTTCAAGAAGAGACTGGACTGCCATTTGTCAGAAATGGTTTATTTATTTATTTATTTATTTATTTATTTTTATTTGTCAATTGCTTACAAGATAATAGGTATAAGTAAAAACATAGTTATGAATACATGGATACATATAAGAAAAATTTAAAAAAAATTAAAAGAAACAATAGGACAGGGACGGTAGACACATTGGTGCGCTTATGCATGCCCCCTACAGACCTCTTAGGAAAGGGGTGAGGTCAATAGTAGACAGTCTAAGGTTAAAGTTTTTGGGGTTTGGGGGGTGGGCGGGAAACCACAGTCAGGTAGAGTATTCCAGACATTGACCATTCTGTTGCTGAAGTTGTATTTCCTGCGATCAAGTTTGGTGTGATTAACCTTGAGTTTGTATCTATTGTGTGCTCTTGTGTTGTTATGGTTGAAGCTGAAGTATTCATTGACAGGTAGGGCATTGCAATATATAATTTTATATACTATACTTAGATCGGACCTAAGGCAGCGTAGTTCTAGGCTTTCTAGGTCTAGAATTTCGAGTCTGGTGGCATAAGGTATTCTGCTACGAGTAGAGGAGTGGAGAACTCTCCTTGTGAAATATTTCTGGACTTTCTCAACTGTATTAATATCAGATACATAATGTGGGTTCCAGAATGATGAGCTGTATTCGAGTATTGGTCTAGCAAATGTTTTGTATGCTCTAGTTAGTAGTGTGATATTACCAGATAAAAGGCTACGTAAGATTAGGTTAACAACTCTTAATGCCTTTTTGGCTATGTAGTTACAGTGGGCTCTAGCACTTAGGTCATTTGAGATGAGTACTCCAAGGTCCTTGACAGAGTATGGATCATCAACAAGGTCTTGACTATTCAGCCTGTATTTTATTTTCTGATTTTTTTTTTGCCAATATGTAGGACAGAGCATTTATTTGTTGAGATTAGAAGCTGCCATTTGTTTGACCATTCTGATACATAGTCAAGGTCTTTTTGAAGGGTAACGGTATCGTCTGTGATGTAGGGTCTCCCGCTTGGGGGAGGGGGTTGGACTAGATGACCTATAAGGTCCCTTCCAACTCTGGTTATGTTGTGTCATCTCTCTCTCTCTCTCTCTCTCTCTCTCTGGCCCCTTCGTGAAACCCACATCGCTCGCTCTCGCCTTTCCACACCGACGCCTGAGGAAACCATCCGCTCCGAGGCAGCGATGGGAGTGCGCGCGCACAGCCCCGCCGCCCTCTCTCGCCATCCCCGCTTACGTTGGCGCGAAGGATCCGGGCGGTCATGGCCTCGGGGGCCCCCGCGAGGCGAGCCCCTGGCGGAGCGGCCCGGGCGGGAGCCCCGAGACGGGTGCGAGGGGATTCGGAGTGGCTGGAGGGGTGTGTGCGTGCGTGTGTGTGTGGGGTTGGATGGGCGGGCGATGCCTGCGGCTTGGGGCCCTGGCGCGCTGCGATTTGTGAAGCGGGACGTGATGAAACCTCCCCCTGGACAAATCACGGGGAAGCGACCGACCTCCCCAGGTGGGATTAGTTGCAGCCGGACGGGCTGGGCAAACAAGAGCGCCGCGCTCGGATTCTTGCCCAAGGAGGCTCCAGTCAGCGGCAGGAGGATGGCCAAGGCAAGCGGGTTGCGGCTCTACCAGGTACGGTAGGGGAGCCCCCTTTGGCTTGGCGGGCAGGCAGGCAGGCGGGCGGGCGGGCGAGAGCCTCCCCATCCCCTCCGCACCCGCCGATGCCAGGCAAGAAACGGTGCTCCGATCCTAGAACTCCAGGCTGGTGGCGGATGAAATGTGTCCCCGCTGAGTGTGGCTTTTTTTTTTTTTTCCACTCCTTCGGCAAGGAGACGGGATGACCCGTCGGAACAAACTGTTTTGCTATGCTGCAAAATCGTAGAAATGTCCTTAACGAAAAAGGAAGGAAGGAAAGAAGGAAGGAAGGAAGGAGAAAAGCAAAGAAAGAATAAGAAAGAAGGAAGGAAGGAAAGAAGGAAAGAAAGAGAAAGGAAAGA